CATCTGTTTTTTCTTGGGAGGTGCTTAGCATTTCTTTAACTATTCTACTTATATCTTGCTGTACTTGTTAAATACTTCACTTTTGAACTTGTCTATGAGGTCCGTATGATATCACTTTATGTCTATTGGTGCCATGCCTGATATTGCACTTTTCTGTCCTTATTCTCCTTTGCATTTACCTTTTCTGGATCAATGTTCTCAGGATTGGGGACTGAGGACCCTTTCTTGTTGCCTCCTCTTCTCATATTTTTTTGTTCCTTCTGTACAGGCATATTTAGGAGGCTCAGTTTCTTTCTTTGTCGGTTTCAGTTTGTGTGAAGCACACTGACTAGGTGGTCCCACCCACTGCAATGTACTAGGAGGTACAGACCCCGCAGCCTATGCTGGGTCCGCCCCTCCAGGTCAACCTACTGAAGGCTTCACTGCATTAGGTTGCACTGCCAGGCACAGGACCTTGATTTGGGCTAGCCTATTGGGCCTCAGTCCATGGTGTCACCCAGGTCAAGCACTCCCCACCAATCCTGCTTGAGAGGGGAATATGTGACTGAAGTCATGCAGTGCCCTGTTCTGGCCAGTCTGCCCAGTCTCAGAATGTCCTCTGTTGGAGCCTCTTTGACTATGGGAGGGTCCCTGTCCCTCTCACCCACCACAGGTCGATGTAGGGTTCTCTGCCAGTTCTGCTCCCAATTTGGTTCACTGATTCCCACTCTCAGAGCATTCACATCTCCAGTGAGTTACAACTAGCAGGCTATACCAGCTGTGTCAATTCAGGCACGGCAGCCACAAGGTATTCAAGCTGGGAGTTTTTTAGGTGTTCCAATCGTAGCACCAGGATTGCATTTCCAATTGGTTTCTCTCAGCTTAGTTCATTCCTGGGTTGGCAGGGTATATCTCCCTCTGCTTAGGACACCCCACACCACACCATTCCTGGAATCTAAGCTGGCTATCTCGGAGAGCCACCATAGCTCTATCTGCTATTATCTATCTGCCATCTTTTCTCAGTCTCTATTTTGTATATTTCACCTAGTTGTCAAATTTATGGCTATAGTGTTGGTTACTGCAGCATTTTTGTCATCCTCCTAATGTCTGTGAGATCATTCTTTGCTGGTATTTTGTGTTCTCTCATCAGAAAGCTGGAAGTTTATCAGTTATATAGGGTATTTAATATTTTGTGTGATTGACTTCCTATGTTTCTGTTTTAAATTTAACAAATATACATGTGTGGTTGCCAGTTTCCTCACATTTGCTTTGTTTTTACTTGTGCTTTTGCTCCTGGTCTCTTAAGGTGGAAAGTTAGGTCACTGCAGAGAGGTCTTCCTTCTTGGCCAACATAATCATTTAATATTAAAAATACTCTCTAAGTATTGCAGATACATTCCTCTGATTTTGATATGTCTGTTTTCCTTTAGTTAAAGATAGTTTAAAATCTTTCTTCAGACTTTCCCTTTGACCCATGGATTATTTAGAAGCACGATCCTGCTCTGAGAACATCCTTTTTATGACTTCTAGTCTTTGAAAATTATGTCCTACTGTGTGTGTGCATGCGTGTTATACCATATACACTTGCAAAGAATGTATATTCTATTGTAGTTAAAAGGAGCATTTTATAAGGTGAAGTACCCAAGTTGGTGAATTACACCCTGCAGATGTGTGCACACCCTTACTGAGTTTCTTCTTACTTGTTCCACTAGTGACTAAGAAAAAGGTTGACATTTCCAACTCTAGTGATGAGTTTGTCTATTTCCCCTTTCAGTATTACTAGTTTTTGCTTCAAGTATTTTGAAGATTGTTTTTAAAAACAATTATGTGCATTTACATATAGGACTATTATTCCTTTTTGGAGAATTGACTATTTTGTCATTATGCAATTTCTCTCTTTACCTCTGAAAAATATTCCTTGTCTTGAAATCTGTTTTGTCTTATTAGGATAGCTACTCCAAAGATCTTTTGTTTAATGTTTTCATAGTGCATATTTCTTAATTCTTTTAGTTTAACCTACTTTAAAATGAGCTTCTTATTAAAAGTTTATAATTGGATCTTGCATTTTTTAAGTAATTTGACAGTCTTTGACTTTTCACTGGTGCGTTTAGACTAATTACACTTAAAGCTATTCCTGATATGTTTGGATTAAAGTCTGTCACACTGTAACTGACTTTTATGTTTTCCCATCTGTTTGTTTCTGTTTTCCACTTTTCTGCCTGCTCTTGGGTGAATGGAACATGGTTTGCTGCTCTCTTGTGTCACTTTTATTGACGTATTATTTATATTTAAAAAAATTTAATCATTAACTCAAGACTTACACTGTGCATCTTTAATTAATCAAAGCTGATTCTACTGCCTATGTGGTGTAAGGAGCCTGAGCAGTGATTTCTCACCTCCTCCTTCTCATGCTTTGTGCTATGATGATCATCTAGCATATTGTTACTCCTGAATGTGCTGCAAACACACAATATGCTGCTATGGCTTTTTCTTTTAAATAGCTGTGCTTCAAAGCAACTAAAACAAGGAAAAGTTAATTTTATTTTACTTCTATGTTCTGTCTCCAATCTGTTAATGTCTTTGTGTAAGACAAGTATCTATCTATCTATCTATCTATCTATCTATCTATCTATCTATAGTTTTTCCTTTCAACATTTCTAACTTTTAACATTTTTTGTAGATCTATTAGTAATGACTTCTGCCTTTTTTAAAAAAGAAAGTATTTATTTTTCTTTTTTCTTTCCCTTCCTTTTTTTTCTGTTTTTCAGTCTTTCTTTGAAGGAATTGTCAGTGAGAATTCTGGGTTAACAGTGTATTTTTCTATGAACACTTTAAAGGTGTTATTCTACTGCTCTCTTAATTTCTTGATTCTCATGAGAACAGATATCACTTTTCTGGATTTTTCTCTGTGTGTAAATTTCTTACCTCTAGTTGCTTTTAAGATTTTCTTTCTCTTTGGCTTTCAAAGTTTTGTGATGTTGGTCTAGGAGTGGTTTTCTGTGTCTATATCATTTTATATTTGTTGTGCATCTGATATCTGGGAATTGAAATTTGTCATCAAATTTGTAAATATTTTTTCATTTATTAATTTTTTCTGTCCTATTGTTTTTCCTTCTTGGTTTCTAAGTATACAAATGTGAAACTGTATTGTATTGGGCACATATCACTGAATGTATTCTTCTTTCTTATCTTTTTTCCCTCTCTGTGCTTCAATTTGGATTATTGACATGGATCTATCTTCTAGCTTTTGTTATTTCATTGTGCAATTTCCAGCCTACTGAAAAGAGCTTGTCCCTCTCTGGAGTTCAGTTTATCAAAGGTTCCTGCAGTCATTGATGTTTGATAACTCTACAGACAACTGGTTTTTATTTTATCCATTTTTGGTATTATTAAGGGAACAAAAGTCTCTGGCGCCCCATAAGTTAACCATGTTGTCTGAGGTTGTCACTAACTTTCAAAAGAGCATTTTTGTCTCTATATATTTCCTTTTCTTTACCCTCCTAGCTCAGCTTCATCTGAAGTACATCATGAAACACAAGGTCACATTTTCAGGACTTCTTAAACCAGATGCATATGCATTAAAGTCATCTGATGTACTTTTCATAAAATACAGATTTTTTCATCCATCTCCTCTAATTCTAATTCATCAGGACTGGGGTGTGTCTCAGGAATCAGGAGGGGGTATATTTAGATTACTTCTAATGAACAACCAGAGTTGAAAATCACAAGATCTTTTCAGCAAGCTTCCCAGCATGACCCGAAAACCTTGTAACAGAAAAGAAGCATCATTGTTAATTATTATGAAAATTTAAATGGGATGCAGGTAATTTGATTATGAAATCTGAGAATTTTTACATGTGTGCCACAGGAAAAGTAGCTGTTTGAATTTTGCCCAATGTGATTTGAAGCTATTATGAAGAAGCAAGAGTATCTGAACTTTTCCTCCTCAGTCAACTACTCACAAATTTGCAGTGCAGAAGTTTCTAGACCACACTGCCAAGCATCCCTATACATCCCACACTTATAAATTTTTATAGGAATCAACACATTTCCTTTGTCTCAGCTGTTTTTCTTTTTTTAACATTAAGTTTAACATTCCTTGGTTTTATTAGAAAATAAAAATTTCTGTTTACTCACACAGTTAACAGTTCAGCCGGTTTCCAAGGGAGAAGTGAGAGGTAACTAAAATTAGTGCAAAGTTCATGGAGCTCTTGCGTGCTGCATCCGGCCCAGAGCCATGCTGACCAACAGAAGTTCATCCATTTCCCCGGGACCTTGTGCTGTTCCTCACTTTCATCTGCTTGCACCATCTGTGGTCTGTAGCCCAGCTCAGTGTCCCCGTCATTCCCTCTGTCCCTCCTTTGCAGCGTGAGCTCACCCCACTTCTGGAAGTCTCACAATCATAGAATCTCCAGGAAGGCCATACCCTGACTTGAGGGAGGAGGAAAGTTGAAGAAGAGATCACCTCTGTTTTTATTTTTTTATTTTATTTTTTGTCTTTCTGAGACAGGGTCTCGCTGTGCAGTTCAAGCCTGCCTTGAGCTTACTTTGTAGCCCAGGCTGGTTTCGAACTCTCGACAATCATCCTGCCTCAGCCTCCCTAGTGCTGGGATTCAGGCATAAGCCACCACACCCAGCTTGCCTGGATTTTTGTATAAGGCAAAGACTGTGATCATTACCCAGAGTTAATCGTACTACCTAGTGCATACACAAATCAAAACATCACACTATGCCACATGAATAATACAAATATTATGCTGCATTCAAATTAGTAATAATAATATTAATAATAATAATAAACCACAAGCCCAGAGTAAAGCCAGTGTTTTCTTCTACATATTCTGGCTTTCATGTTTCTTTCTAGGTTATTGATCCTTCTGCCTCTACTCCAGCTTGTGAGAAAAACTGTTAATCAAATTAGTTAATCAATTTGTTAATCAAATTAGTTGTAAAACAACAAAAATGTATGCTAACTATGGCTCCTCCCACACACTTGCTCTCCCTTTTCTTTCTCCACGAAGGTTGTCACCCTTGGCTCCAGGTTCCATCTCCATCTCCCGTGGAGCTGCCCCAGGGACACTTGAGGCTTCAGCAGTGAGGTAACTATTCATTCAGCACTATGGGTCCTGTTGGAGCAAGAGCACGGTCCGCATCTTTAGGTGTGGGAGTCTGGAGCTACTGGGCAGGAACAGCAAACCTCCAGCCAGGTCAGACCAAGGAGGAACCTGCTCCTTCTGTCACCTTGACAAAAACATGAGCAGTCAGCTTTTCAGTGAGAAGGTCAGTGATAGACTGGGGCGGGCTGAATTCTGCCAGTGTTGATGTGTACCCAGCAGCTACACCAGGCCTTGCTAGTTGGGTTGCTGGGTGAAATACAGGCGCCAGTGAAATTAGAATTGCAGATAACCATTGCATCCATATGTTAGTCTAAGTATAGAATATTTAAGCTGAAATTTATGCATTATTTACCTGCAATTCTAATTTCACCAGGCAGCCTCAGTTTCTGGGTGTTGCATCTGGCAGTCTGGCTTACTGGGCCCTGCACACTGCTGGTGGCTGAGTTGGTGGTTGGGCTGCCAAGCGCAGCTCTTGAGGCCTGGCTGTGGTTGACAGCAGTGGGTGGACCAGCAGAGCGTGTGCACAAAGGGTCCCTACTTGCATCTTTTCCCTTCTGCCTCTACCTGCCGGCCCTTCTTGAGCTCACCCACTCCCACCCACACCATCACCTTCTCTTGTCCTCAACCAAGGAAGGGATGGAACCTATGTTATTCCCTCTTTCACTCTTAGAGTGAATACCTGAGGCAGACCACTTTACAAGGAAAGGGGTTTCTTTAGTTCACAGGTTTGGGGGTTGGACATGTAAATGGCACATCACAGACACTTTGAAGGTCTCATTTGGTAGCATAACATCACAGTGGGAGTACAGGTGTTTCTCTGTGTCCATGTCATCTCTCCCCTCATTATAAAGCCAGGACTCGATTTGGGGGTCTCCACTGTCATGGCCAAATCTACGCGAATCACTTCCCAAAGGCCCGGCCGTTAAACACCACAGTCAGATTAAGTTTCCCCTGCTTCATCCATGATATAAGAGACTTTGGAAGTTAAACTCCTGCGTGAGTTCCAACATGATAAATTACATTCAAACCATAGCAGAACTGGGGTCTTCTGGAGTCTGTTTGGCCTTGGAAGTGATGAGACCCTCTGCTGCCCAGTATTGGGCAATGCCTGTGTGGTGAGGGGAAGGTCAGCTTGAGGGGGCCTCAGGAAGAGAAGCCAAAGAGCAGTCGTGGCTTCCAGAGGAGCCAGCGGGGCTTCCCCCTGCCTGCCTCCTCTAGATGGGAGAAGCCCTCCCTTTCCCCAGCCACCTGCGGGCCAGGGGCCTCTCCAGACCCTGAGGCTCACAAGACAGGTGCAGCCAGGTGGGATTCCCATTTCCTGCCTTTGGTGTAGTGCTGTGCCTGGATTGTCTTCTTTGCCTCCTTTGATGGGGCCCATGGTACCCAGGTCTCTTCTCACTGCCGGCTGCTGCACCCTGCACGCTTCCCTCTCAGTGCTTCGACGTGGACACTGACATCTGGGTCTCATGGGACATTTGTGCTGCACCCACCCTGGTGCTTTCCACGTTCTCATCTACTGACTGTGATAGCAGAGTTTTTCCTTGCGGTGGCTCTGTGACTGACTGGTCACCTTCGCCTGAGCTTGACTTTCTGAGATACCCCTTACAAGTGGGCTGCCCAGACCCTGATCTTGGCCCTCTTCTCAGGCTCCAGGGTTTGGTATTTCCACATCTCAGTCTGTTCTGCCTGCCTCGGAGCCCCTGCACACTTAGCAGCCTGACTCCACTCCTCTGTGGTCTCCTGAGGCTACTCCTGAGGCCCCACAGCCAATCCTGAGAGTCAAGGCTCTGAGGGGTGGGCAGTTGATGGGCTGCTCTGGGTTAGAATCTAGTGCTTCCGAGCACCAGCTCTGTGGACAGTTACTTCCATTCTCAGGGTGTGAATTCTCTCACTGGAAACAGAATGAGCTGCCAGGAGCTGCTTCAGAGAGTGGCTGGGGGATTAAATAGCTTGGCACCCAGACTGTGCTCAGGACAGGGCCCTGTGTGGTGCATGGCAAGCCTCGGGGACTCTACCTGGGGACCTGAGTCTTGATTCCATTTGTGAATTGTGCAACATTGGGAAAGCTGCTGACATTATGTGCCTCCGTTTCCCCATCTGAAAATTAAGAATAATACCTGACTTAGAGTATTGGTAGGGTTAAATTAGTAAGTATTTGGACTGCTCAGAAGAGCATATCCCATGCTCAGTAAATATTAGTTTTATTTATAGTCATCACCTCCTAGACGCTTCAAGCTTTCTCTTTCCCCATCCTGCCAATTTCCACATTCTGTTGGTTTTGTTTCCCTCACCTCTTATCTCACCGACCCCGCCCTAGCCTCAGTCCCCCCACATCTCTCTTCAAGTGCACAACTGCCAGCCTCCTGAAATACAATATGAATCCTCGCTGGGATCCTCCCGGGCCTCCAGCATCTTCTGCGCTAGGTGAGACTCTAACACCTTCACGTGGTCTTGGAGCACCTTCCCCTTGCCTGGCCCTTACCCCCTCCTCTCTCCTTTGCTGTGCTCCTTCACTGGGCTCATGGTCTTCCCACCAGGGACCTTCCTGTGGGCACCCTCCCCAGCCTGCCTCCAGCATTCACCGCTCGCACCCTTGTCTTTCTTTACTGAGACATGGCTCAGGTTTTCATCTTTTCCCTTCCTCTCATGGATTAAGAAGACTGTCACTTCTGCGAACGCGGAAGTCCTGAGTCCTTAGTTTGACATCTCCACATCTCCGTGGTAGCTCCTGGCTGTCTGCACATGCTGCTTTGGTTACTGTATGGACGCCACACTTGGCTGAGCAGTTCGTTGAAACTTCGCATGTAAGCCACTGCACAGAGTTGTACCCAGGCCTTCCTGCTGCACTGCATCCCCAGCCCCTGTATTTTTTTAAACTTTGAGACAGTCTTGTGAAGCTGCCCTGGCTGGCCTCCAATTTTGTGACCCTCCTATCTCAGCCTTCTGAGGAACTAGGATTGTAAGCCACCCCACCTGGCTGTCTTTGTTTTCTAATTAACATTTTTAGAGCACCTAGAATCCAGCCTGGAGCAAACTGAGGGCTCATTACTCTTTGTGGATAAGTGAATGGATGGAAGGGCACCTCCCTCAGCAAATGGGCTGAGATCCTATCCTTGTAAATGGAGTTCAGGACAGGTCAGCACTTTGGCCATCCTTCATCCAGGGGGTGCGGCTGTTTTTAATATAATTTGAATGTGTTATCACCAAAAGTCTTATTTGGTCTTGTCATGCAAAATAAACTTTTGTAAATTGAAGCCTGTCCTCTCGCTGACTTTGTAATACTCTTGTGTTTCTCGTGACCATTACCATGATGGCGTGTCCCAAATTCCTCTTTCTTTACCTGCTACTTGAGTGGATATAGCATGTAAACAGATAATTACAGGCATCACCTGCTAAACAGACATGTTTAGATATGAGGAATAATTTTGCCACAAACAATCTTTGTTTCCTAATATTTCTTCTGGGCCACTCTGAGCTTTCTTACGTCAGAGTTTCCTGAGACATTCTTCTGTCCTGTGACAGTGACCTAGTGTGCAAAGCCTCCCAGGATCCCTTTTCAAGAAGACCTAAGGGGACCACAAGGAACTAGAGCTGCCAGATGAGCCTCTCGATCTGGCGGATGAAGGCTGTCCTGTAGCAGGCTGCTGCATCTGCCAGGTGACGTTAAATCACACACAGGCGTCACAGCAAGCTCTCATCTGACCTCTGCACAGAAGCCTCATGTTTCTTTTCTTAGTGATGATTTCTTTCTCATTTCCTGCCCATTTCTAGCTTTGGAAGCTAGATAAGGGTGCGCGCACGCATGCACGTGCATGTGTGTGTGTGTGTGTGTGTGTGTGTGTGTGTGTGTGAAAAGGGGGGGGGGGAATTGGAGAGGTCCGTGGAGAGTCATGTAATTGTTTTCTAAAATAACCTTACCTGGTTTTCTCTGAGAGTTACATTGTAGTCACAGCCCAGGACAGGGTAATGACACTGTTGCATAGATTAAAATGTAAAACTTGCTTAAGGTATTAAAAGGCACATTATTTATAACAAAAATCACACTGTTTAGGACTAGAGGGATCTAGGTTTGTGTCCTAGCTTTGCTCTGCCATATACGACTTACCTTGACTTAAATGTGTAACCTCAGTTGAGCCTCAGTTTCCCCCACGTGCTAACAGAATGCTTTTCTATTTCACCGAGTCATATTGTAAGGACTAAGCTAAATGAAAAAATGCACTAGTCCTTTTCCTACAGTAGTTGCTCATTGCAATTAGTTTCATTTCGTCCAAATCTTTGCTGATTAAGCAAATAATTGCCTCTACATCTCGTGAGTTTGCCCGAGTTTAATGACTCCATTTATCTGGTTGATAGTGGTACTCTTTGCTTTTTGTTGTAGCACAGCTCAGTGTAGCGCCTTCTGCATGCATAAGTTTCTTTGAAAAAACAAGTAATGAGAAATTCAGATATAAGAAAAATCTCCAGAGATGGAAGAAAATAAATACCTTGAGCTGAAATTAGCTCTAGGTCTAAAGGAAGAAAAAGCGTTTTAGCCTCAGTAGAGAACAGGTCAAGATCAAGTTAAGGGTAGCGGAAGAAAATAAGAGAAAGAAGAATGTCTGGAAAGCGCACCATCCTGCTCTCTGCGGCTGAGCTAGGGACCTTGGACGGGTGAGAGACAGAGTTGCTGTCACAGCTGAGGGTTTCTCCCATGTGGACACTGGTGCTGGCTTATCCAGAAGCCAGCGTGACCACTGAGCTAAGGGGGCTGAGTCCATGATGATGGTGGTGATGGTGGTAGACATGTGTGTCTGTTCCTGTAGGACATAGTTTGGGAGTTCACATGGGAAAGGAGGACAGTGGAGAATTAAATGACCACCGGCTCTCGGGCACAGCGGGTCAGGAGCCATGGTGTTTCAAGGCAGGTGAGGCAATGGTTCACTGTGACCTTCCTATGTGATCTGAGGTATCCGGTGGTGCTAGCACCTGCAGCTCCAGAATCT